TTTTTTAAAAATTTTTTTTTTTTCCATTTTCGAATTTGGAACTGGAGAAAATGTTTCACCAGTGTTCCTACACACACTTGGCTATCATTGGCTGAAGGATGCTGGGTACTCTAAATCCACCTCTTCCTCTCCACATCATTTGCAGACCAAAGTTTGAAGATAGTCTAAAACTGTAACCTTTATATCTGCCATCATCAAGTCTCTGAGTCAGCTCATGTGATTTTGTATTTTCACATTTTAAGCAGTCTCGAGTAGCACCAGGCATAACGTGTCTTTGTAGTGTACAGTTTTGGCTCCATGTTGTGTAGTTTTCTTGTTTGGCTGGGACGTGTTTGACATTGATTCCGCTCGGCACTTTGATTCCAGCACAGTTTTTCACTGGTGGAGGACAATACTCTCCAACGTTATTGACGTGCTTCTACGTTGTTGTTGTTTTTTTTATCGCTCTTTAATCCGGAGTGGATTTTTGACAGCCAGGTCACACCTGAATTTCTCTGCACTTCTTTCAGTCTTACTGAATAAAAATCCTTAACACAATGTTCCGTTCCGGGTTTAGGGAAAGGGCTGTGTGGCTGAAAGTGAGCTGAAGGCTAAATAGTGATTGTGAGAACTTTTTTTTTTTTGGTCGGCCTGCTATGTGTGAATATCACCCCAGGTTTGCTAGGTGTTTAAAATCCAGCACGGCTCACCACTACTCCAGCTTCTCCCTTCAAGCCGACTGTTGATTCTGACGGCACCGGCAGCAAACCCTATTGCTCCTGCGAAACAGACACAAAAGCATCCACCCTTTGCTCTTCTCCGCGTCGAGTCGAGATGTTTCTGCCGCGGGGCCCGCAAGTGAGAGAGAGCCAGCAGATAAAACGTGCAGCGATAATGAAGGCAGCAGTGGCCCAGGTCTGTGTGTTTTATTTCTGGGGCTGAGGAGGGCGCACAGCCCCGCCGGCACACTGCTGTCGAAGCTGAGCCCCAGTGTAGATGGCAGCGGCGCAGCAGAGGATGCTCCGTTTGGAGGGATATTGATTTCCTCTGCGATCTGTGTGTATTTTTGGGAGGCCTGTGTGCCGGGATGGCCTCTGCCCCGTGACTCACTGATGGAGACTGCTGCTTGAGCGCCGGCCTCGGGCTCTGCAGGGGCCTCCAAGGAATAGCTCTGCCCCCCCCCCCCCCCCCCCCCCCTCACTGTGGGTAGGGGCAGAGGGTAGAGGGCACCAGCATGCTTAAGCAAATCTGCCGCTGTTGTTCTCCCTCCTCGCTGCATGCTCTCACCTTAGAAGCAGCGGCGCAGCTCGAGTCAGGGAAGGGAGGGGAGATGGTGTGAATATGTAAAACAAAGAAAATGTGAATTCCCATGTACTTATTTGTTATTGGTTCTCTGTTTTCCCCTCGAACCACAATCAACCATTTTGTGCTCGGAAAATGTGCCCGTGTGAAGCAGTGAGCGTTGCTGCATGTTCTCAGCGATGGTCGGGGCATTTCTTCCAGTGCACAGCTGCGATCTTGCTTCCTTGCTGCAGTGTGATTGACTGTCCTTCCAATAGCGAGTGAACATATGATTAGTGGAGCGGCTCTCTGTTAGCACGCAGCTGTCACTTCACATCTCGTTGTTTTTAAATTCTCCTTCACCGTTCGTAGAGCTCGCTTGACTCCATCGCCTGATTTAACTCCAGCAGTAACGGTCGTTTTTTGAATCTGTAAATGTAAATGACGCTTGGAAACTTTTATTAATTGTGTGGCAACTTCTGTCGATGAGACTTGGTGCCGGGGCTGGAGGCCTCATGATGAGATGTTCATTTACTTCCATTTAACACCTCCCCTCTTTCCCCTCCCTTGTCAGTTCTGGCAACCAGACGGAGAATGCAGAAAAATATATAAACTGTTATTGTTAAAATGTTTGTTTGCAAAGAACTTTCATCTTGTAAGGCAGCCCACCCTCCACAGGATTTGAAATCAGTTGGGCTTTGCTTTCATGTCCGTCCCCTGACAGTTCCATCATCCTTTTGTATCGCAAGCTCAATGAATATTCAGAGGGTTTCTCCTCGGGGCTTGTGTACAATAAAAGAGTCAACGTCACGAAAGTTTCTTTGCAACCCCCCCCCTCCTTTCTCGAGTGCTCCGTTGAAATATGCACAATTGTTGATGTTTGTGGCATTACTTTGCAGCTAATGAGCGAGCGAGCGATGTAGATGCTATTTTGTTCCGACTTAAGTTTTGATGTAATTTAATTTGACAATGCATAACAATGTGTAACGTCTCTATAGAGGTGCTCTGTACTTGTGTTAACAATTGTTCTTTTTATTACAGGTCCTCCAGATCCAGAAGACGGTTATTGACCCTCTGAAAAAGTAAGTGTCCGTCTTCATTTCTTGTACTCTATATTTTAAGGGTTGATGTTAAATGACTCAGACCAGGGGGAAATAGTAGTTTAGCAAGTTTATCATTTGTTTTCAGTTTTTTTCACACAGTGAATTTAGATGCATTCTAAAATCACAGGAAAGTATTGTAAAGTTGTAATAGTTCAGTTTTTGTGGCTCAATGTTCCTGGTGTGGTAAATCCATATGACACGCTGGGCAGATTCAGTGCCTTGTAACATGTGTATTGCTGACGCAGCTCTTTACACTGGTAGTGCTGGACCACAGGAAGGCCTGGAGTCTAGTACGGATTGTAAAACGAACGAGGGAGTGAGTAGTGCTGCTGTGATGGCCGTGCGTCTGGAAGAAGGTTTATTTGGTTCTCATTCCTAATATTCGCCCCCTTTTGAGAAGGCGGTGAATGCTATTCCATTCCTTAAGCCTCACTTTTTACACACACACGCGCGCACACACACACACACTGTACACACACATGCAAAGCAGAGGTACTGAAGGGAGTGGTTGGACTATCCCACCCTTCTTCCGGAGCGCTTGTTAAGGTTTTGCTTCCTCCTCTTGGCTCCTCCCAGGAGATTGATTATACATATGCTGCTTATGAGAACACGTGCGTTATGTTTCTATTGCAGGTTTATGTTGAACCCAAGAAGCTTGTTAGTTCTTCTTCTTTTTTTCAAATAACCAATGTCAAGAGATTCCCCTGTTAAACAAATAGGTTGGGTTAGTGTGTGTGTGTGTGTTAAGCCCCGTCCTCCTCGTGTGCTCTGGTGGCGGAGCAATGACAGGATGGAATGGTTCTAATTTCCTCTTCCTGGTGGGCGGAAGGCGGACGTGTGGGCAGGCTCAGAATATGGCTCTGGGCCCAGGAAGCTGGGCCCAGAGCCGTGGATTGGTTGAGGAGGGGAGCTGTCTCGGGACAGTGCACACACTCTCACACAAAGACACACGCATAAATACACACCAACCCAGAGTTTGGAGGGGGTGCTGTCTCACAAATATGGTATTTGAGACCGTAAAGTTAGGAATAGATTCTGAAATAGAGCAGAGGAAGTAGGTTCATAAATGTGTTTTGAAGCCTCTACATTAACTTTTTTTTTTTTCCCTCCTTAAAAACACTGCACTATTAATTATTAGTTTTATTACTAAGTGTCTTCTATTGAAAACAGAGACACAAAAGCTACTATACTTTAAAGCTTCCATTAAGATTCCATTAGTCCGTCACTAATGAATATTTTGTCGTTGTTTACTTGGTCTCAAAATACTCTATTGGTGATTCTGTGTCATCATGAAGAGAATTAGAGAAGAGTTGAAAAGGAGAACGTTAATGTTAATGTTAATGGAAGATGAATTGTGTGTGTGTGTGTTAGATATGTGCTTGTGTCAGTGTGTTATTGCCATTTGAAATGTTGGCATTCTTAGTACTTGCTGTGGTAAAATGTGCAGTAAACGAAAAAGAGGCCTCAACCTCTCCCTCTGTGTCTCTTCCTCTCTCTCAGGCTCAGATGTGAGTTTTGTCTACTCAGCGGGGTCACTCGATGACATCACTGTGTTTATGTGAGGGGGGGGGGGGGGGGGTGCGTGGGCATTGAGGCATTTGTGTTATCCAGGCCTCCTAACCTAGCCCTTTCTGCTCCGTTAGTCTTTTGGGTGCGACAGAAGTCAAGCCTGTTTGGAGACCTCTGCCCCGGGTCGAGCTGTGACTAGACGAGCCACATGATTCCCCCCCTGTCACTCAGAGGAAGGCCCCTAGTGCAGGTTGTGAGGCCAATTGTCCTTTGCTGTGGGGCTGATGATATTTTTTTGGGGGGGGGTGCAGTGATTACATTTCCATTTGGTACACATGGTGTTTGTTTGCTATAACGTTATATATCTGTTTCCCACATCTTATCTGGTTTATCGTGTTTCCAGGCTGCCTGAGTTTTGATCAACAAAGCAGAAGGCAAGTTGCGGCAGATCAAACTCTCCTTCTGAGACAAAGGAGGTTCTGCTGGCATGTACGTCACTCACTCACAGGTTCCCATGGCCCGCTGCTCTTACACCATTTACACGACAGGTGGTAGTTATTTTACATTCACAGCAAGCATATCTTAACAGAACTGGCCCCGGGATGTAACCTTGTCAGACATTCCTCAGTCTTCTGCTGAAGTTGTGACACTTTGGAAGTGGTAATTTGCACATAAACATTGTGTTTTCTGCAGTAGTGAGTTATGTGATGTTGGTCGTCGAAAGGGTTCAGCCAGCCTCCTAGACTGAGGGTGTCTAGACCAGACTTGGGCTTGGCCGGTGGGTCCGACTGGCCTGTCTGTGGATTGGCTAGCTGCTCATAAACAAACTCTCTGGTCCAGATGCTATTTCCGTCCAGCTTGTTTCACCACACCCTGACCTGTCACATCTACAGTGGTGAGGTCCCAAGACCTTGTCCAGACGAGGCCGACCGCAGATGCAGACCTAGCCCGGCTGACTGCTAGTCGTCCAGCTACTCTCAGGACATCGAGGGAAATGTCCAATATCTATCATTACAAATACACAGTCACCTTCAACCAGGGCTGCTGCTGCGTATTCTCGTGTGGGAGCCTTTGACACAGCTGAGTCACTGTAACGTCTGGACACGAGAGCCCTGAATGTAAGTGAGATATCCGCATCCAGCATGGATAGGACAGGAGTGGGTTAACAAGCTGTTGGCTCTGTGTCTAGCTCTTCCTCCTCCTCCAGTGGCCCTTAAGTCTCTTAGTGTACTGAAACATAGTAGTTGCTGGCAGTGTTGCCATCATGATGTGTCATGAGGAAATTGCTCCGTGCCTGTCAGGTGAAGTGCGCCGGTGAGAATGCGATCAGCCCTTTTGTGTCATCTGAAAGCTGGTTTGCCGCTGCGTTGTCATCAGCCAATAGTGTTGGAGAGCAGTCATTGCCTCGAGGGCAGTTACATAATCCCTTGGCACGTCAAGCACGTGTACACTGGAGCAGATAGTAGACTTGAGGATCGGCATCCACTCCTGCCATAAACTGGGCCAAAGTGGTATTTTATAAATAGCGGTTGAGCGTGGGTTGCAGGGCTGGGCTGAGCCGAGCTCCGTGATGTCACTCAAACGCTACGAGACCACTCCTTGCCTAACTTCCTGTAGGAAACAATCCGTGCTTGTCTGAGACTGAGCTTCACTTTCTACGTCTCGTACCCCCCCCCCCCCCCACCTCTGGTAAGGTGCACATTCAGACACGACCACAATCTAGGATTTCACAATCAATCCAGAGGAGTTCTCAGTGGCTCCCTCATCTGCTGTGCAGAGCAGGGCAAGGGTTGGCATGGAGAGGAACGTAAGTCATGAAGCCCACACATTGTGTTGCTAATAGCGCTATGGGCAGCTGAGGCTCGCATAATAAACTGTTGTAGTAGTGTGCCTACACAGTTGATGAAATGCTTTAAATGAGTCATTCAAAAGAGCTGCATCTCACTCTTCATTACGAGTGTTTTTATGACTGACTCACATGTAGCAGACACCTGTTTGGCCTTCTTTCTAAAAACACTGTCACTGGTTTGTGTCCAGAAAGACTCCGAATTAGTTCATTAATGTTCGTCTTGCTGAGTTTGCTTTGGTAGTAATTTGTTAACAATACATTTGTTATATATTCTTTTATTTTATTTTATTTTTTTACTTATAAAATGAGGCATTATTAACTAACAAATAACGCTGCGAAGAGACGATAATCTTGTAGTTTATATGTTGGCTATCCTCCAGCTATGTTGATTGTTTTCTATTGAATATTATATTATTACATTGACTCTATACAGTGTTCCTGCTTCCCATTAACAGCAGCCACACAACCAGTGCAACAAGTCCCAGGATGAAGCTCAGACTCCTGTTGCTAAGTTACAGATGAGTGTTTTCCTATTTTTAGTGCTGAAGACCAGGATTCTCGTTGGAAGAATATATTTTCATTTGGAATATGATAATTGTCACAAAATGAATTGTTTCATGCCATTTTGAACTACAGTAATTAGATAATAGATTAGAGCTCAATGCAGAGCTGTCCTCTGGGGTTTAAGAGCCCCGCCACAATAAGATGTTGAGGAGAGGGATTTATATTCATGATGACTTTTATTAAGATAGGATGCAGAATGCATGTCTACACATTTCATAGAGCAAGAAAAGCTGTTTTAATGATTTCAGCAACTTCAGAAAACTCTGGGATCGTTTCCTTTTTTTTCCGTTTGAGTACTCTGATGTGTGCGTGTCTGGGTATTTCTTTGCTTGCACACATGCACGCTTGTGTGTTTTGTTTCGTGCCCTATTGGTTGTGTCCCAGATGTCTAAGGTTGTCTGTGTGCTGGTTTTGTCGCAGGTACAGCGGCGTCTTCCCCAGCCTCAACATGGCAGTGAAGCGCCGGGAGCAGGCTCTGCAGGACTACAAACGCTTGCAATCCAAAGCGGAGAAGTATGAAGAGAAGGAAAAAACCGGGCCGGTTATGGTGAAACTACATCAGGTACTGTTGAGTTTAAAGCATTGCATCGGTGCACGTGTCGGTCCACTCCAGTGCTCCCTCTATCTGCAGAGGGGTAGAGTTCACGGGCTCTTGCATGTTGCACATATTGTGAATAGGGTGCAATAAGTGGGAAAAAAAAAAGAAGTCACAAATGCTGACTGGATATGAACAAAAATAGTTGAGCACACATGCACACTGTACATGTGTGCTCCTTCACCCACGCAAGCTAGCAGGCTCTCAAGTAGTGCCTTTTCAAAAAGGCGCTGCTGCACATCTACAGGCACGTAATTGAGAATGGTAGACACACACACACACACACACACACACCATAAGGCCACTACAGAAGCGCACACATTCACAGATAGCGCTGCAGTGCTGCCTATGCTATTGCCTCTAACACATCCTCACATGGCGAGCCACCCACACACATTGAGAAAAGCACTGTCAGGGGAACAAAGCCTTGAAGAGGCCCCTACATCGCTGCCCTTTGAGTCCCTGTGCACTTAAAGAAATGATCCTGACAAAACACTTGTATGCCATTTCAACTGGCATGTGTAAAGACAACTAACTACTGTGAAGAGACCACACCACAGAGCAGGAGATAAACAATATGTTGTGGTTTTAATATAGCGAACCCCCCCCCCCTCCCCTTAATAAACATTCTCACCCTCTCACACATATTCAGTGTGCATTCCATAACTCCATGCCTACAGTAGACTACCCACTAATACATTCACACACACACACACACAGATCAGTGGTGCTGGAGTCCACTCACAGCCAAGTCTGCCCACATAACCCACTCCTCCTCACTGTGGTCGTGATTACAGCCTTTTCTTCTTATTTTTTTTTTTGCACTGCTTCTTCGTGGGAATTAGGCAAAAATCTTTCTGAACAATAAGAAAGACACTAAAGATGGCTCCGTTGCTGAAATACTCAAAGCTAACTTGTATCTCTGTTGTGTAAAAATTAGAAGTGCCGATGATCAATGTTGAGCAGTTCTTTTGTTTCCTCTCTCCCCTCCACACCCCAGGCCAGAGAGGAGCTCCGGCCGGTCAGGGAGGACTTCGAGGCCAAGAACAAGCAGCTGCTGGACGAGATGCCCAAGTTTTACTACAGCCGCATCGACTACTTCCAGCCCAGCTTTGAGGCTCTCATCAGGGCGCAGGTTAGTGATCTCTCCCCTCTGGAGATGCACAAACAATAAGGCGCTTGTGCACACACACACACACACACACACACACACACACACACACACACTCACTCCGCAGTGTCTGTTACGCCCTCCGAGCTTGTTGATTAAACAGTGGATAAAGTGTCTGATGGAAGGGAGTGTACGATCCTGGCAGTCTGTCTCCCTCCACGCCGTCGTAATGAGATTAACCCCCAGTGACGGCCCACACTGCTGTGTTTAGCCCAGCAAGGCCTCATCTGTCTGGCTCCACTGCAGCCCTGCATGTCGTCCTCTAACCTGAAGCTTCTCTTAAAGCAGCTGGACGTCTCAAGTTAGCGCCACCGTGTCCCCCTCCCCCACCCCAGACCTGCCTGGCCTTGTCATTTCCTCTTTGGGACGGTCACTGGCACACTCCTAATCAGTAAACTAGATTATCCTTGACCTAATGCCAATTATGGAATTCTGTGTTCTACTTTGAACTTAAAATTAGCAAACTGAACAATCGAATTTGTGGAAATATTTAATGTTCTATCTGAGCTCAGGTCTTTTTTAAGGTTAAATCACATTTTTACGTGGCTTTGCATTGTGCAAGGGTTGTTATTAATCAGTTATCCTTTTTTATTCAGTCTACATTATCTTTATTCATGTAGCTCAAGCACATGAATGAGCCTTTACACACACACACACACACACACACACACACACAGAGCCACACGTGGGTGGCCAGTGGACCTCATCCCCAGCCTGCATGTACTTGGTTTCATCCTCCACTCCCTTCCCTCCCAGCCGCTGTTGCTGCTCAGCTCCCAGCGGCAGCAGGAAAAGGCACAAGGCTGCCTTTGTTGTGAGCCTTCAGCTTCACTATCACAAGTCCTGTCCTGAAACTGTCAGCGCTTCATTGGGCTTGACCTGTCCACCTGTACAGATGTTGATGAATTGAGACATTGTCTTGATTTTTTGTGTGTTTTTTTCACCGTTTTGCATCCTCTGCTTCATGTGTTCTTTAAAAAAAAAAAAAAAGAAGATATTTTGAAAGATTGCTTTCTTTGTCCTTTTCCCAGTTGATTGTCTTTGTTTCCCTGAAACAGTGGCCACACAATGTTTCAGGACCTACTGGACAGAATGCAACATACATTATTCATTATTTTAGTGGGCTAAGAGGTCAAAGTGTAACCTCTCTGTATGCATGTTAAGCAGCTGAGACTGTGGTATGTTAAAATGTCCAGACACAAGTCATTTCATTTCAAGCTCTGCTTTTACCCAAAGACTCATTTTTGTACCGTAGGTGGTCACCAGGCTGTGTTTACTCCGCCTGGTGACTGGACTAATTGTAATAGCAGAGTGTCTCTGCTACAGAGGGCACTCAATGTACACCAGATCAGTGTTTATCATCGCTGGTCAAATGGACATTTCCGATGGCCCTTTCAACAAGACGTTTTAGGGGAAAGAATATCCGCTTTACCCCCACAAACAGCAGTAACCCAATACTTACGGCCCACTCGTGTGGTTTAGGTGGCAAATGTTGGTATAAACATACAAAGGTCTTTCAGGCTGAGCACTTAAAAAGACTTGTACAAGGTGGTTCAGAAACTCTGACATTGTCTGACAGAGTGAGACTAATGTTATTTCTCCATAAGTTGCATGACTCCTGGTTATTCCCAGCTTGACCGAACCCTTACTCTGTTGTGAATTAGTAAATCAGTAAGCATTTCTCCTACTGCTGTCTCGGCCAACAATAGGACACACGTGCAGTTTCAGAGAAGCCAATGTTGCCCTCTTAAGAGCATGGTATTGTATGTATCGCTGCATGAATAAATATTGAGATGTGTGTGTGTGTGGGTTTCAAGGGGTTGTATTTCCCAGTACTTTCATTCTCTGCCTACTCTTCTGGAGTCTTGTAATGTGATTAAAGTCTATTAATCATCAAAGCAACTCTCCAGGGAGCCTGACTCATGAACTAAGGGGAAGAAGCAGGGGTGGGAAGTGTCAAGAAAGCTTTCAGTGAACACACTCTATCTCTTGTTCAGATTGGGAGAGAAAAGCAGGGTCACTACCCACTGAAGTGCTGGGGTTTTTGGGGCTTTGTCGGAGTTGTTTGATATCCGCGGGCTCCCTCTTCTCCTTTTCAAATCACTTCTCATTAGCAGAGTTGAAGAGGTATGAGACCAGCAGCGTCAGACTAGTGCGAGTAAGAACAGGGTTAGATTGTGCGAGTCTGGATATGAAGTTGTTGGGAGTTTTTCCTGAGAGGCATCTAAGCAAAGGTCCGTGTACCCTCTCGAGCTTCTATCAGACGGGACTATTTTTTTTTTCTTTCTGCTCCCCAGGTTGTCTATTTCACCGAAATGTACAAGATCTTCAGCGAGTTAACGGACCAGATCGACCAGGCCGGGCTGACTGACGAGCAGAGGGAGAGGGAGACCGAGGCCAAGCTCAGCGAGTTGCGTGCTCTGTCCATTGTCGCCGACGACTGAGGGGGGAACGCCGAAAACCGGGGAAGGGCTCCTTTCATGCCTCTCTGAATGGATTGCAGTCTTTTCAGGCTCCTTCGTGCAGTTCAAACGGACAGCAATGGCCTTAACCTGATTATCAGATTGTTTCCTTGCGGCCTCATAACCCCCCCTCCCCCCATTCCTCTCGCACTACACACCCATGTTTCATTGTTTCTACAGAGACTCTGCAACTCAAAGCAGCTGAAATGCCACATTAACTAAGCCATCAGCCAAGTGCAGCATTATAAGCCAATATGTTTTGTGTTTTTTTGTAAAGGAATCAAACAGTTCTCATCAGAACTAATTAACAAGGTTACACTTTGTGGTTTTAGAGATGCGTTACAAGCATGAATGTTTTTATTGGTCACATCTGCATTGTTACTAACAATCTGTGAAACTGTTTTTAATCACAAACACTGCAGGCTGAATGTTCTGTAATATATTGCAGGTTACCGGCAAGAAAATGTCAGTCTATATTTCGGCCTTTGCTGGTTCTCTCTTTAAGTTTAGCTTTGTGCCATGTTGTGTGAGGGGCTTGTTTTTGGGGGGTTTACAGGATGGTTTTGGCAACATCACCTGTGCATTAAGTGCCTACATTGTCCCGGCTGTGGATGTAACATGAAAACTATCTAAAGTGAGATTGTGCCTGTGCAGCGGTGTTGAAAGGTCGACCTCTCAAGACTGCAGAGAGAACAAGTTGCTGTTGAAGTCTCATTAAAAACAAAGGCTGGTGCTCCCTCTAGTGGAAAATACTAATCATGACAATTTCCTTTTATTCACACCATCCATCCTTTGTTGTATTGTGGTTCAGTTCGTCTGGTAGCCTCACATTGTTGGCAAAGAAAGTCCTTTCTCTGTAACTTCTCAACCAGGGTTGAATATTTTTTGATTTTTGGACCAAATTCTATTGTCATTGCACTCCTTTGTTTCCACCTTTATCAGGTACTGCTTCAGTATGATCAACATACCACATGGTGACGCGCACACTGTTTCAATATCATGTTCGGGGATTTTTTAAAAAGGTGTCTCACCAAGAAGTTTATTTGTTCTCCCACATTTTGAAATTATTGAAACAAATGCTTAGTTGATTGACTGTCTTTGAGTTCTGTTATGTTTTACTCGCGTGTATTAATGCACCTAATACTGTAACAATAGAGTGGGCTAATTTAGGTTTTTTGAATGTATTAACACCAAAATGTGTGAAATGACTTTCAGCCATCATCGTAATGTATCATGAAATAAATTAACTGACGATAGAAACCATGTATACAATCGTACTGTTGTATTGTTGCCTTGATGAGTTTAAGTTTGGATATCTACGGCATATTTCTCTCTCAAATGCAGGAGTTGTTATAGAACTTAAATCACACAAAAGACTGATCGGTTACTAATCTTTATTTCTGTTCAGTTTCACTTTACTGGAATTAGTCAGTAGTGTCCTGTCAGCGAGTCTCATAAGCAGTATGTACAGTTCAGACACCTCATAGTTTTAACGGTTTAATTTCAGGTGATGGATTACATGCTCACACTGGTTTATGAAATCCTTCAGAACCAGAAAAAAGTACGCAACCGACGACCTACGACACAGAATGTTCATGAACAGCTTACGTCATGGTGATACAAGGGCCCAACAACCGTGGAATACAAACCTACAGTTAACGCAAGTTCTATGAGCAACAGTGTCCCTTTGAAAGTCAGGGCAGTGTGAATGAATATCCAACTTAACGTCTCTGCAGGTTGCTTCTTAATAACCTGTGTGATGTTTAGCTCTACAACTATACAATAACTGATGTATCGGTAAAATCTCCTGGTGAACAACAAGTCTGAATCGGTGACACAGACAACAGCGAGATTGGAATTTAAAAGAAAGAAAGTTTGGTCCCAATCTGTTATTTTTCATGTGAAGTTAAGACATAACACATGTGTGCAGGAGGTGGAAAATACCAATATTTCAAATTATATACAGTTGTATATGTTAAAATAAGGCACTGCTGGACGTATAGGTTTTGATTTTTTCCTCTCCTGGGTCCCTGTCCCATTTTTGTTTCCCCTTATTGAACACCTGCAACCTTTGTGTTGCGTGTGAATTAGTGTGAGGCATTCCTCAAAAGGCCGTCTTGCTGTACATGCTTGATATTTGTTCCTGAAAGGTTTTGCGGATGTCAGTGCGTCTACTTTTCAGTGTGGGGGTGAGGAGGCCGTTGGCGATGCTGAACGTCTCGGGATGCAAGTAAAGGTCCTTCACCTGAGAGAAAGGTAAGACACAAAATCACACCTAAAGTAAGTCGCTTGCAAATTTTGACCAAGCCCAATGTCAGCAGAGACTCCTCACTTGTTCAAAGGACTTCAGCCCTGCTTCCTTCCCTACAGCTTTCATGTCCTCCAATACTGCGTTCTCTAAATCCTGTTGAAAGACCGATCACAATTTTCCAGGATGCATACAACAAGGTAAAATGGTTATGTTATGAATTTGGGATTTAGATGACATACAGGATTCTGGCACAGCTCTTCATAGGATCCCACAAACCCTCGGTCTTTAGCCCAGTCAACGAACACCTCAGGGTCAGGTACAACGATGCCTATGAGATAAGACTGGTGACACAAACCACAAGAGAAAATGTAAAACTTGAACCACAGCAAATGTTTTGAATACTGATAAACATGAATCAAAGTGTACCTGTAAACTATCTCCGTGCACGAACACCTGTAGCACAGGAACACAACGCGTGTAGACGTTTTCTATCTTCTCTGGAGCGATGTACTCTCCCTGGGACAACTTGAAGATGTGCTTCTTCCTGTCAATGATGCGAAGCGTCCCGTTCTGTCAGAGAGGAAAAGCGGAGACACTCGCTCACTTACAGCAGTCTCAAAAGACGATATCCGTCAGCTTTAGGCTGATTATTGTGTCTAAACTTACTGGAAGCCACTGGCCCACGTCCCCACTGTGCAGCCAGCCGTCACTGTCCAAGGCTTCAGCCGTCTTTTCTGGGTCCTTCAGGTAACCTTTGAACACACTGGGGCCACTTATACAGATCTAACGGGACCAAGCCGTGATAAGGGTCAGTCGATTTGTTGCATGTATAATATGATGGCTTAATCGGGTCACCTCACCTCTCCATCTCCGTTCTTAGCATAGTAGTTCATATCAGGGATGTCTACCAGCTTCACCTTGGCACAGGGCAAAGGAGCACCTACGTGACCTGACAAAGACACACCCACATACCTGCTGAGGACAGGATTAAAACAGCACCGGCACCAAAGCACAAGCAAATCAGATGGCGTCCTACCTGCGCTCCAGTCTCCCGGCATGGAGAAGGTGCAGCCTGCGGTGCACTCTGTCTGGCCGTAGCCCTCGAAGATCAGACAGCCCAGAGTGGCTCTGAGGAAGGACAGCACAGTGGGGGAGATGGGTGCTGAAGCGGTCAGGGCGAACCGCAGATTACCTCCTAAACTGGCCTGAAACACAGGTGATGCAGTGTTTATGTCAAACGGTTCAAATGCAAAACATACTGTGGGTACAAGCTAAATTCTATTTTTACACCGTATTTTCCCATCTGCATCGACCATACCAAGGCCAAAATCTGTCTGTGCGCATGCTTCTCCAATACACTCCCACAAGACCAATATGCTCTGGGTGAATTTGGCATCGATTAGTGGAATAGTTGTGCTCCTCTTGCAAAGTTTGGATACAAATTTGTTGACTATTTGCACGGCTGCTGGTCTACAAATACCACTGTGTTAAGTGCTGTAAAACAGTGACAAATATAGAGTCCTGGATTAACAAACAACATGTCAGACTGAAAACCCATCTGTAGTTGAAAAATGTAAAAATAGATTGTTTTCTTGTTTTGGGGGTTGGCCTCTGAAGAGGCCTGTATGTCTTCACTGGAGACCTACAGTAACTGAACACATGGGGAAATATGATCCAGCTGGGTATAACATGGAGCTTCCAGCTACTGACCTGAATCCTGTTGAACACCAGTTTGTCCCACAGACTGTTGTTGCGTACGACGCCACTGCTGAGCTCAGCCTGCTTTCTCCTCACGGCGTAGTGAAGCAAAGCCCGTCGTAACGGAGAGGTCACAGAACCCAGGATCTTCATAGGAATTAGTAAAAACAGAAACCAGGTTTAAAACATCACCGACTAAGAAGCGCTAGATAATAGTCTGAATGTATTCACTTACCTTGTCATAGATACGATTGAGTAAACGAGGCACAACAGGAAAGAAGGTAGGTTTGAGAGTTTTAATGTCATCCATGAGAAGAGAAATGTCACCTTGGTAGAATCCTACTCTGGCCCCGTGGCAGAACATAGAGACCTGTGACAGAAATAGACTTAGCTTAGGGGTTAGCACACTACAAAAGGAAAAAAAAAAAAAAAAGTCTGAAAAGAGCATCGGCTACCTGAATCATCCTCTCAAACATGTGGGCAAGCGGCAGGTAAGAGATCGACACATCCTCTTGTCGGATCACAAACGAACCCTGAGAGAAAAAAAAGTGAGCAAAGCACGGGGGAGAGATTACGTTCAGGCAGCAGTTATACAGCGGAGCCCCGCAGGCAATCAAACATGCCGTACGTCTTCCTCTACAGCAGTTAGATAGCACAATCTTTATATGGGGGCAATTAGTTAAAGTACCTTGCAGCGTCAGGGGCAATCAAACAGCCAATTAATCATACCATTAGACACAGCAGGGAGAGGGACAGTTTTGAGACACAGAGACAAGCAGGTGGGAAGTGATGGTAGCTGTGAGGCTGTTCTCAATTAGACAAGGAGGTGGAAGTGTAGACAGACCTCCAGGATCTTAATGACAGAGGAAGTGTTGGAGGCGATGTTGCCGTGGGTGATCATGGCTCCCTTGGGCTTCCCTGGATAAATAAACAAGACATTATTGCAGTGCCCTGCGCAGCAGAAGGAAACTACAGCGGTGCCATAAAGAAGGGTTGTTAGTGGGGCCCTGAAGGACACTTTGCGAATGATGCGAGTGAAGGATAATCACACTGAGACGTATGAAATCAGACGTTACCTGTGGTTCCACTGGTGAAGCAAACCACGGCCAGGTCCTGAGGCTGGGGCGGCTACGGCAGGCAGAGAAATAATATATGAGAACATGGCAACAGGCTTCCCCCACTTGTAATTTAAGTGCTGTTTACAAGTGAGTGTTAATGATATCTTATGGGACAGGAGCAATGGGAAAACTGTCCTCCTAGCAGTTAGAGGGGGATTAGCCATTTACTGGAACCAGTTTGATGCGGTGCCGTAGCAGCTGCAAGACGATAAACTCACCACAGGATCTTTGAGGTTCTGCCTTCCCAGGTCCTGAGATGTGGACAAAGAGGAGTTGTTCATATCAATTTACATATCACCATTGATGACTAAATTAAAAAGGGGACACATTTAAATGAGTCAGCATTATAGGGATTTAGTACTCCTCCTCTCCTCTACTCACCATGAGCTGCTCCAGTTTCAAAACCTCCACCTCGCAGTTCATTGCCCTCTCAACAAACGCGTTGCTGAAATCGTGGAAGAGAACCAAGCAGGAGAGCTTTGGAGTCACGCCCGTCTCCTTGTTCTCCAACAAAGCTGCAGCCTTCTCCTCCCGGTCGCAGATCACCAGAGAGATCTCCGCTAAGAACGCCGCCAACATGAATGGTAACGAAACGGTACAGTGTGAGAGAGAAATCTATAGTTTTCCAATCAGCTTTAGTTGGAAGTGCATTGAAGCTCAAAGATGCTCAACAGTCCTTTCTTTTTTCCCCATGTTCTACTCCATTACACTGATATGACTTTGCATATAAACATTTTACATAAAATACATTTTCAAAGTTTTAACCAGTGGTTCAAACTTTTTACAATGTCCTATATAAAAGAGCCCTGTTATGAGATATCTAATTGTTTTTATCACTCACAACCCCATTTTTCTGCAGAACTGGTACTTTCCCTTTTTATACTTCAAGTACATTTAGCTGATAATACTTCTGTACTTTTACAGAAGTAGTACAGTAGCAAGATTTTGAAAGCAGGACTTTTAGTAAAAGGGTCCGAGTACTTCTTCCACTGCCGTTTCCAACACAATGTTTACCTATTCATCTCTTAGATGTTATAATATGCACAGTTTGCATGACGCTTAGTCTCAAACAATATTTTGGGAGAAGGATCACTGTGTATTGCTCACCACTATGGTATGGTTTGAATTGAATTGATATGGGAGGCTGGCGGACAAACCAACGATGACCCGATTAACAATACTCTTTCTATTATTTCCTCACCCAGGTTGAGTATGTGGACCATGGCCTCCAGCCCCAGTGTGTCATACAGAGGCACCACCGCCATGGAGTACGTGTAGCAGGCCAGCTCCGAGATGATCCACTGTCGCCAGCAGAGGGAGACAAAGCAGCACCGTTAAGACTCATTTCCAGCCGTCACACACTGCTGAGTGAGTACTTGTTCAGTTCGATATATAAACATTAGGGAGTAATGTGTGGTTATGTAGATCACAATGCATTTCATACTTACTGAACAAACAAAAACCACATTTAAAGTAACGAAAAACAGCATTGTGTGAAGATAGGTCTGATGGGAGGTTAGAGGCTCTGATGGAGCAGAAAATTACATTTCACTTTCAGTCTACAAAGATGGCCTTGCCTGACGGATATATTACAAAATGAGATTGGGAGTAGACCTGCTCCAATATTAGCTGCCCTGGAGACCCACATCCACCACCAGCGCTCTGCTCTCAATATGAATTAAGGCAAACACACTTTCGGTACTGACAAAAACAAATCATATTATAATTTTCAAAATTCATAGAGGAAATGTGATCCTGGTACGAGTCAAGGGTAGGAGCAAACCTCTGTGGAGAGGAGAACATCTATCCTGGTGAAATACTAATTTGAACTATTGGGCTGTTGAGAAGGATTTGATTCCAGAAAAGTTATCCAAGCGATACTAAAGCTCACTGGTGAAGGAACAAACAAACAAACATCACACACACCAGGTCATACCTCTGGTCTGTTTTGTGCAAATATCCCAACAAATTGCTGCGGGTTCGGCTGGCAGCCTTTGGCCAACAGCCCAGAGCCCAGCACCTGCGCCTGCTCAGCCACCTGAAGAATTGGAGACCCTCAGTCAGCAAACAGCAAAGAGTAACATGACACCGTGAAATGCCCTGACGACTGGAGTATTAAAATACTAAAACATGTCCGACCTCAGTGTAGGAGATCCACTGGTAGGGCTGTCCCGGCTTTCTGAAGCCCAGACACGGGCCGCTTCCTGGAGGACACGAGACATTTGCGTCACGTCATTTCAAACATATTTTAACAATCTTAAATGTGCTGTCTGGGATATGCTGCCGATTTACTTTTTTGCCCCTTTCTTTAATACAATTACACAATCAAACATAGGATAAAGTCAAATGAAATATGTTGTGAAAGTGTCCCCTTGTCGCCACCTGTGATCCTCAGTCCTCTCTGGAACATGTCAAAGGCCGTCCTGGTGTCATCGTAGTAAAACTCCAGCAGCGAGTCATCTTTAAGAAGAGCCGATCGCCTGCAGCTGGGATCTCCCTACAACAAACACCTGGCGTGAGCCATTTACACAAATTATGATGCCAACAGCGACCGTGTGAGCCACTCACATTAACAGCCACAGACTGGGCTTGCAGATCGCAGGGAGGACGCATGGGTCGAGGTCGTGTCACCAGCCAGTACGCGGTGAGAGAGGCCAGGGCTCCTAGACCCAGCAGAGAGGAGGGCGACAGAGACAGGGAGGACAGGGAGAAGGAGGACAGGGAGAAGGAGGACAGGGAGAAGGAGGACAGGGGCAGAGACGGCAAAATACTCCAGAAGGTTTCCGATTCAGAACCTTTGACGCCAGCGCTGGAGCGAAGTGAACGTAACCACTCCTGGAAATGCATTACTGAGAGAAGAGGACAGAAACAAAGACAGACAACATACGGAGTGAAACAGGAGGACATTATTTGGTGAGTTTACATCACAAACGGTTCAATTTGCTGTAGTTAAAAAAAATAAATAAAAAATGCAGCATCTCCAGCAGAAGGCAGCAGACTAAGTCAGGTTGACAGATTCACTAAGGTCTTTCAAGTCACTTTTAAAAACATGCAATTTTCCTTCTACAGCCTTTTATAATGTTTTCTGATGAGTGTTTGTCACCAGCTGCAACAGTGTGTGGTTGGTTTTATTTCACCTTGTGAAATATTGTGAGTCTGGAGACGCCTACTGTAGCAGGAACTACCATAGTTTTGAGTACTTTGCCATTTGTGTGCCACTTTATGCCCCAGGCCCGATTTGGCGTGACGGCTGGTGTGATTGTTTAGTTTGTAAAATGCCCATCACAGCTTCCCAGAGCCGAAGTTTACGTCTTCAAAATGGCTCGTCTTCTCCACCCAACAGTCAAACATTTAAGAAGCTGGAACCAGTGAATGTTGGAAAATGTTGCTTGATAAATGACTTAAATAATAAAAAAATAAATAAATAAAATAAAAATAATTTAAAAAAAAAAAAAAAAAATCGATTTTCTGTCATTAACGTATCAATTAATGGACGAATCATTTCAGCACTACTTTCATCAGTAAATTATACATTTACAAGTAGATTTCTCTAATACTAAGAAGTTCAATGCATTTTAAATAGAAGGAATGCAATGAAGGAATTAGATTTAATTAGAGATTATTTTATCATTATCTCAGAGTTTTCTGAAAAATTAAATAAACTCGCTTCAACTGTATAGAAAATAAAAAAAGAAATTCTCATTGGATCGGTCCTGGAGAATAAACAAGACTTGAGTTTTAGCATAACCATCATACAACATAGTCAACTCTCAACGATAGAGGGAACCAGAGATATTGTCTTTTTTTTTCCGTCTTCCTTGTCACAACCTGGTGCCTACATTACCCACAATGCAACTCAATTACCAACAGTGTGGGTTCGAGATCAGATATATAGTGCTAGTAGCGGCTAATGTATCCTCAAGCCACTAGCGGACTACAGAGGTCTATAGACTCAATTCTGTCTTCATTTCACCTCAGGATTTTTCAAGTGACTCTGACTGAGTGACATCCCGTGGGTCCATTTATCAGGTTTTGTCGAGCTGCCCTGTACTCTCCAAACCTTGGAGTTTCCCTTTAAACCTCTTCTTACTATCCACCACAGTGAACAAACAACGATTGGCAAAAGAGAAACAGGCACCGAGGTTACTCTCAGTCATGTTCTGCCACTCTTTCATTCATCAGGGAGGAGCGAGAGAGAATCGGGGTGTGTGTGCGGTAGTGAGGGGTTGGTGGGGAGATAGGGGGAGGGCCCGCTAAGTCCACCCCCATGATCCCATGCGAGAGACTTTATTGTTCATATCAAAAGGAGGGAGTGTTGTCCCAACACAAACTAGAAAACAGCACTAAAACGGCTCACTTCAGCCCCCTTAACAAACCACCTCATCTTACACCGGGCAAGGAATTCACCTCACTGAATACATCTCTGCTTTCCCACATCCACTCCCTTCCCCGAACACCCCTCAACCTCTCACCCAATTTCTCCCCCAGTGCCCAATAAGAGAGGGGGGGGAAGGGAGAAAAAAAAAAAAAAAAAAAAAAAAAAAAAGCTATACCCCTCCCTCTTCAACCAGGCTGCTCCTGCGCTGTTTCCCTTCCCTGCATGGGTAAAGTGATGCCACACTCGTCCTTGGGAGGATCCATAATTCACTATAAACATCAATTAATCTGAATTAAAAACTACTCGCTTGCCACTTCACACCTGCTGGAGCAACAGAGCAGCCTGTGATATATAGAGTCCTTTCACTTGGTAAATAAATGAGAAACAAAAAAGGGCTTTATGAAATGCGAAAAAAATGACAGTCCACTGTGAAGAGAGATCCTGTAACCTCTTTCTATCTCTCTCCATTGCTCCCTCCCCCTCCCTCCCATTCATAAGGGCTATTGTCAAGGCCCAGACAGGGACCATTGTGCTCCCAGCTTTTACTCCCTGGAAGACGTGAGACAAAAGAAACTGCACACACACACACGCACACACACACACACACACACACACACACGTGAAAATATACTGGAGGAATACAAATGCACCTCTACAACATCATGTGGACTAGCGTTACAACAATAATGGTGGAATTGAAAGTATTTTTGGGGCAAATTATGTTTGACAGAACAAACTAAATTTGTTTAAAAAGAAGGAAATTGACATCCTGCTATGGAGTGCACACAGAATGCAGTTTCTGTATGCACTGTGTGGTAACAGATAGCCTGAGGCAGTGCACATGTCTGTGCACACTTCGTCCAGCTGACAGGCAGAGACGAGAGGTATTCTGAGCTGCTGCAGTATACTGCATGGCAGAATGTAGAACACGCGAAAACAGAAACCCAAAACTAGTTTTGAGAACAACCTGGCATGTAATCAATGATGACTATAACTTTAATGGATCAAACTGTCAAACATTGTTTGTACGCCACATTTTGGAGGATGCCGTAGAACGCAATGAGCCTCACACAAAGGGAACTATACTTGGAAAGGTGACAAACTAGTAACATTAAAATGGGAGATTAAAGCAATTGAGGTGTTTAAAAGTATTAATGGTAAAATACTCAAATCAGGGCTTGAATGTAGATTTTGAGAGAGTTTAAGTGTAGTTGTTGTAGAGAGATATTTGTCCAGGGTTTAGGTCAATAAATGCAAAAGGTAGCTTCATCATAAGCTTTGTAGAATGACAGTCAGAAATGGGAGGAGCTAGTGCAGGGACTTAAGCCATCTACATGTGTTGCTCAATTTAAAACTTTGACAGAAAGACTCAGTTTGAGTTTAAATTATTATTTAGACTTTTTGGTCAAATTTGAGGGCATAAAAAAAAAAAAAAAAAAAAAAAAAAAAGATTCATGGCTGCTTTTAAGAAAAGTGTTTACACGTTTTTAATCACAAGCAGACAGAAGAGGGCTGACCTTAATGATGTTCTTTCAGTTATAGAGTGTTTTAGTTATTTTCCTGTTGGATTAAACTTAAAATAAGGATTTGTTCTCCAGAGCCAAAATGAAGCCTCCTCAAAAGCAAAATTGCTGCAGAGAAAAGGGCCATGAATAATAAGAAGAGTAGAGAAGAGGCTCTGCACAGTGGCACGCAGAGCTTTGTAGTGATGAGAGCAATGCTTCCCTCCGACCCAGAAAACTACAGGAGGTGACATGAGGAGGAGGGGGGGGGGGGGGGGGGGAGAGAGAGACGACAGCATTTTATAACCAGCAGCAATGAACTCCGCACACTTTCCATGTGCAATGGGAAGCGAGTGGTCTGATCGAGGAGAGAGAGGGGGGGGGGGGGGGGGCACGTGAGGCTGGCTGGCCGGCGGTGGGGATGGAAACCATCAAAAGAGAAAGAAAGAAACGCTCGGATGTTTTCCGGCTGTGATTCCCAAATGAAGCGTGACGAACACAGACACACGCTTGGTCACAATGAAGTTTTTCTTGTGGAAGTGAAAGGTGGTGAAGAATAAATGAGAAAAACCACGCATCCTGCACGTATACGACACCTTCCCTTTCCTTCTGACACTCAAGAGTCTCAAATTCACTTGAAACCAATCAGGATTCTCACAGACAATGCTACATTTGTGCATTTTTTTTTTCTCCAGCCCAAAGTTTCATGTAACTAAGCAGCACCAGTTTCAAACATCACTAAGCAGCGGTAATCTTCTACATTTAGCTTTCCTGGCAGCACACCTCATGGGTGACTTTTGAATCAGAGTCATATAGAGGAGGCATCATTGCTCATCAAATGTGTGTTGAATGCAATACTGAGTACTGGGCCGATGTAAGGCCAGTATCTCATTAACAGATCATTTAAAGGCACGTTTCTTTCAAACTGCATGCAACAGTTTGTTAACAGGTTGATCATCTTCGCAGTGCTCCAAACTCTCAGCTCGGTAGTCTGGACACTCAGCGGGCTGCAGACAAACTCTTTCTGAGCTTGTAGATCGGGATCTGAACCTTCATAGTTTAGTTTCTGTATCTGAAGCGACCGGAAACGAGCTGATTGGCTCAACAAAGAAAGACCAAATGAAACTTACCTCGCTAAAACGCAGACCTGCAATTGCTCCTTAGCAATTGCTCCTTGCCACAAAGTTACTTCAGCAGCAGATCCATCGAAATGTGTCTACACCTCAAGCTCAAAACAATGTGCTTTTATTTCCGGCCAAAACCTTCAAAACCAAAGCCTCTACTGATGGAAGCTTTGTGCACAGCCTTGTACGTTTGATATATAAACAGACAAGTTGACCCTCACAAATAATTTAAAAAGAGACTAATTGTGTAGTTTTTTTTATAGCATATAACATTATATCCTAAGGTCATGGCAAAAAAGGAAATCGGAGAAGGATAATGCGAAAATTAGAAAGTTAACACATGTTACTGAGAATGCTAACAGAGGATTTTACAAGGAATGAAAAATGAAATTGCAAAATATCCTTTTTTGTTTTTCTTATTTTTCATTTCTCATTTACTATTAGATATTTTTGTTACACAATCAATCAACTACAGGTGACCTGTCAGTTAAGCATATTTTGCTCCACTGTATATTTCGGCCTAATCTAATCATGTCAGTATATCACTCTTGCCATTTTTCAACCTATTCAACAATTTTTATAATTTAATTCAGTTACTTTATTTTGAAGTTTAAAATCACACAACTTCCTGTATTTATCTTTCTAGCTGTCTGTAGCGTTGACGCTTCTCTGCCGACTCTGACGTCACTTCTTAATTGTATTCAGGCCTTTCGGGGGAAGATCATATAATGACAGAGTTGTAGAAAAAAGGGAAACTCATCGTGAGATTAAAGAGGAAAGAAAAGACGGTTTGGTCCAGCCTGTTTATTTATTAGGCCTACATTCAACAGCAGAGGCATCACTGAACTCACATGTTTATAAATCTATAGGGGTTGTACATCAAAAACATTCTGAGCTCAACACAATAGGCAGCATGGTTCATTTATCAAACTATATGTGCACTTACGGATAGTGACTGAAAATATAATTCATTTATGATTGGAGTAATACTGAGGGCAATGAATCATTTATGAGGACTGAACCTGAAAGTGATGAAGTATTAACAGGTTGTTGTTTTTTTTGCTCCATCAGAAATCATCCCAGTTTGTACTCAGCTCCACTGAGCCCTCAGTGTAATGACCACATGTACTGGTGTCCAGAGCATCCTTCACCTGAAAGACAGTGTAACAAGGTAAACAATGAGAAAATAGATCTGATCACTGCAACAAGAGTTATCACAAAACAGATAACAATAAGCCAAACTGAAGGTGTCTTACTTTGGGAATAACTGGAGGGTTTAATGTGCCTTTACAGAGTCCGTTCCAGTTTAATCCTTCAAACCATCTGAATTAAAAAACGGAGCATCACAACCTATAAAACCATGTTTCCGAGCACTGGCCTCTGTGATTTCCTCCAGGCTAATAAATCTGTAGTCTTACTTGTGCTTCTGAATGTCCTTGGCCCCATTTCTCTGACTGCCCAGTCTCTCCGAGGGATTGGTCCTTGGCGATGGAAAGCAAACAAGAACACACAAATAAATAAACTATGAATTAATACTCAGATTCTGTCCTTTGAGAGGGGATGTTACACCACAGGTCGTGTGGTGTAACATCCCCACGTTGTAACATCCCCACATCACCTGCGTTGTTTCTTAATTTGCTTCTATCTGTTTGTGTGTGGGGGCGCTGGAAGAGGGGATAATGGGCCTATAACATACACAATGGTGGGATGGAGGGAGGTTTTAGTATTTTTCTGAAAAAGCACTATAAAATAACTGTCATTAGCTTTCACATCATAACTCATGGTGTCTAGCGGGGCACATTTACAACACCTGCACAGTTTCTTTATGAGACTGGAGGCACTTTTGCTGATGGTTTTTGGAAAGTCGATCTGATCGATACCACGAATGGTTGCAGTGAGAATCTTTATCGGGTCAGTGTTGCTGAACGGGAGCCTGGAGAGGGAAACAAGAGCCTGTCACCATCACATCAATCTACAGCTGGAGAAATGAGCTTAACAAACAGGGCTGCATACAACTGTGAAACGTACCCACCACTCAGAAGTTCAAACACAAAAATGCCCAGTGACCAGAAGTCCGCAGATACACTGTGGCCTTTGTTCAAGACGATTTCAGGTGCCATGTAGCCCGGTGTACCGCAGAACGTCCAGGTTTTCTTACCCATCTCCACCTTCTTTAGACACCTGGAACCAATCTATAAAAAGAGGATATGAGTTCACCTACAGTAAAACCCAGAATACTATGATGTCATACTGAAAATCTGAATTTAAGTTTGCAATTGTAGTACCAGTTTGGCATAACCATGCTCATCCACAACAACATTTTCCGGCTTGACATCTCTATAGATGACACCTCGACAGTGAAGAAAGCTCAAGGCCTCAACGGCACAAGCCGTGTAGAATCTGGTGCTGCATTCGTCCAAACATCCCCTGAAACAGAGCAGTATGCAGAAGTGCTGGTTTAAGCACGCAGCGAACAAAACAAATGTGTGATGTAGACAGATGTAAGACATCAAATCCTGCTCAGTCTTAAAATTGCATTGTGATGAAAGCTTGGCTAAAAACACAGCGGTAGGACTATAAATATTTTATCAGTATGATGACAAAAAGTGCCTTGCATCCTCTTTAGTCATAAATACTTACTTATCTTTGAGTAGACTATATAAATCCCCACCAAGACACGCTTCTGTCAAAATGTACAGGCACTCTGCGTCTCTGAAGAGTTTATGCAGCCTGTGATCAGCACAAGAACAGAAGCATGTTAACGATCATTATGTAATCAAAACAATCATGAATAGATAACTGTTGAATAACAGACACCTGGCTATGAATGGACAATGAGCCGCCATTAGGATGCGCCCTTCTCTCAGGATGTGCTCTTGTTGACCGTTGCTAAGGATCAGCTTTTTCTTAAGGACCCTCATGGCATAAAGACACTTGATGTCGCTCTTCAGTTGCACCTGACAGAGGTGGAAATCAATAGATTACATTATAGAAACATGGAATCTGGAGGAGGCAGCCGCACGGCGGATCTGTGTCATTGTGTGTGAGCTGCTATAAGATCACCCCTCACCAGGTCTATGTGACCGAACTCCCCAACTGCTAGAGTGCAGATAATCTGGAAATCACTTAAGGTGGAAGATGAGAAGAGATCAGCATCCTTGTCAGACCTGTTCACAAGCAAAACACAGATGAGCCTATGCACTGTGTATTCTATAGATGTAAATGACATGTAATGTAGAAAATAACATTGTAGCCTAATGCTCCTCACTCGATTTTGGCTTCAGGGCTTTGCTGCACCTCATGACTGCAGTCAAATACCAACCCACCAATGCCGTCCTTGAAGGTCCTGAAATACAGAAGTACATGAACATTCTCAGAATCTCTGGCTAAGCACATCAATTTATGACAAACGTGGAGTATAGCGTAGCAACTGATTCAGATACTATAGGGTTTGGCTACTGACACATACATTTTTCTTGACTTTCTTCAGAAGTCGGAGAGATATCCTTTAAAATATTTTACAGGTTTTATCCAACCACTCTTTATTTTCAGAAACTCATGAGAGGCAGTGATGTACGTTGCACCTTTTTGTGGAGAGCTCGGCGAAACGCTGGTACATTTATTTAGGTCTTGCCCCAAACTGCTGTCGAGTAAGTTGTCACGATTTATTTCTGATCGTATCGACCCTCCCTTGATATTACTTTGGAAAAATGTATTGTTTCGATTAATCAAATATAACTGAGATCTCTGTCTGCAGTATTATTTGATTATTTTCTCTATATCTGAACAAGAAAAGTTGTCAAAACATATAACTGGAAGCTTTACAAGATATTTATTTGACTTTTGTACATTGCTTTTTTTTATTACAACCTTTGGTCCCTCTGGCTGTAAGTTGTATACACAAGGTGCTGTAAACTGGTTGTATAATTGTCTCAATAAAGTCGGTAAAGAATATAAATAATAATAATCAGTTACTGCTGTCTATGCAGGGAATTTTATTAAGACAAAATATTGACTTACTCCCTGTCTATGACCAAGCATGAAACTTCACCAGCAGCAATAACATTCACAGTCCGAACATCCTCTCTAAAGACAGAGTGAAGATCATAATGTTACTAACGCAAAATAAATCATTGATATTATGTTGGCACAAATGTCAGTTTTCACTCCTGTCCCCTCTGCATAATGTCCTCTGAAAGTGCATTCATCTCTCCTTACCCCCACAGAGCTTTCTCTCCAAACCACTGTCTCTCAGAGAGCTTAGAAAGAACAACCTGCTCTTCATGGTCTGGCTTATTCTCTGTCACTTTCACCTGGCAAGCACAAAAGAGAGGCAGAAAGCGCCAAAGTCAATTATCACCATTATAATACAATTCCTAAAGCTGCGCTGACATTTTGTCCTCCACAGTCTAAATCTTTTTCTCTCCCAAAGCCTCATCTCATCTGTGCGGCAGGCAGAGAGCATGCAACTTTACCTGGCCTTTGCTAATGATGTAAAAGGTGTCTCCTGTGGCCCCTTGTCGAATGATATAGTCACCTTCAGTGTAGTGTGTCTGTGGAACATAAATGACAGAGGAAAAGAGAGCTAGGAAAAGAGGACACAGTATATTACAGAAATAAAGATGAGGGCCAGTAACAATGAAGGACTCATCATGATTCTACCCCAGCACCTTCTTGTTAACTGATGCAAAACAAAGACAGCCGAAAAAAAATAAATAATTGGGGCCTCGTCTGTAAAATATCATGTTTACACGCGTTCCGTCTGTGTGCATACAAAATCAGTTGGATTCTGTTTGAGCAACGAGTGACGGTTACACAAAGCTCCGTGCTTCAGACTTTAAGAACTTAATCTGTACCTCCTCCATGAGATCAGACATGTTCATGATGACATCCTCTGGCAAAGACTGGAGGAAGGGAACGCTGCAGACACAATGAAAGGGTTGAAAAGGGTTTCATTTTCTCCCCCCAGAAACATTTCATAGGAATGTTGATATTTCGGTCAGTGTTAAAGGCTTAATTGCAGCATCGTGGCAACTGACAAACAACATGACCCTGGTGATGTTGTGCTGAAGATACCAGAATACAAAGCAGCTTTCCGGGCATGCTCTGTGTCAAATGAAGTGTATCGGTCTGATGTTCACCTGATAAGCAGCTCCATTGAATGAGAAAGGCTGTTGAGACCACTCTGCATAAGAATAGTCTGGTAGCTCTTGCGGTCAATAACCCACAGCTTGCTGTCCGTTTGAGCTGCAGTTCAAAAGACAGAGGAACTGATCAAGGTTGTGACGGTGACACTGGAGCTCAGGTGGAAACACAATCAAGAAGCAAGTATTAAAACAGCTCTCAAAGACGTGTGTAGTTTGCGATGGATGTGGATTGAATGCAGGATCAGCTACAGCCTGAAGAGCAGACAGTAAGAAGGCCAGGACTCTATCAGAAATACTCATCATGTAGAGTAAAAAGAAATGGAAGTGCTTTCTTTTCGGGACTTTTAATATAAGTCTAATCTGATTTCCTTAACTTGTATCACTCTTTCTTTATATATGAGCTTTAAAGAGGGTGTTTTAAATTAATAATGACCCATATTGATTGGTTCACTGAAGCTTCCTGCAAACGGGATAGACGTTATCTCCTCTATTCCGTGGCATATGACACTTAATTCAGGGCTATTGCTTTATTTGGATCTGAATGCTGTGCAAGATGTTTTTAAGAAGCAAAACATTTCTCTCAATAGAGGATTTTTCTGACATTTTCTGCAATATATAATTTGCTGCCACTTCTTTGATCTAATGATGAAGCCCCCATTTTCACCTGGACCTTTATCACTGTCACAATGAAAGAGACCACATGAGCAAAACACTATTGATGGTCTCAGATGGCACCAATGAAAAAAAAAGAAGCAATTTCAGGTCAGACAGGAGATAAATACAGTGGGCCCTGAGTGGATCAGAGGTAACAGCTGACAGAAATGGACATGGTGAAACGACAACAGACCACCTACGTGAGCTGAGCATTGTTACTGGAGAGCAGATATATAGTAACAGCTGTTAATTGGAAAGGCTGACTGCTCGCAGGACAAAGAAAGCAGTACAAAAAGGGAATGAGATGCTTACGGACCAAACGAGGTAATTGTGAGTTTTTCTCAGGTCAGACAAAGTTGTCTCACAGACTCAGAGGCTGGGAGGAAAAATGACAGCACTCTTCCTATTTTCTAAATATATATTCTTGCATCAATATATATATATTCTTACATCAGAAATGTATGTATGTATGTGTGTGTGTGTGTATGTATATATGTATATATGTATATATATATATATATATATATATATATATACACACACACATATATATACTGTATACATATATATGCTCCAACCATGAGACAAAAACTATTTGTCGTATTTGTAACGGTTTGTGTGTGCATGTTGAATTGCAGGGAGGAGATGTGGGAGGGAGACTGCTGGGTTATGCAGTAAAGCAGAAAATGTTCTAATTCCCCACATCTCTGAGAAAAAAAACCTTTGAAGCTGTGGTGTTGTCTAAGATCTCAAAATGTCTTTGACTTTAGATTGAAAAGACGTCTGTCCTAGACGTCTTAGACCACTGGCAGAAAAACGTCTGCTAGTGATATTCTCTCAAACAAGAATTGTTTATATCCTTACCACCAGTGTTTTTTGTTGCGACAGATCTCCATCGACATATGAATGCAAATAAAAAACCAAGAACACAATGCTTTGATACCTGAGACAGAGTAGGTGTGGGTGCAGTTGTAGAAGAGGGCCAGCTCCCCAAACATGTCTTCTGGCTCAATTGTGAGAAGCTTAAGTCCGTCTTTTGTCAATTCTAGCTGCCCTTCTGTTAATAAACACACACTCAGTGAAGAAACAAAGCATATACATAATACCTAGAACTGTTATATGCATGTGCCAGGATGTCTGTCAGGACATCTGAGATATACTGTACAAACAACAGATATGCAATCATCCTTAAGTGGATCAAGGCCACCACCTCTCGCTGGTTAGGATAACAAGTGAAAAGCAGTGAGCAGCTCTCCATTAGCGTGACACATCACAAATGCAGCCTGAAGACAATCCAGCACTGTTAAACTCTGCAACCACCGCAGACCAGAGTCCCCTTTCTCCTTGCCTTTTGTATCAAGTTGACATTTCAACACTAAAAAAAAACATCAATACGGGTCACTCGTTATCCTAAGTGCCTCCTCTTTTCTTGCTCAAACATGCAGTTCTCCCATCGCTGTGTTTGAGTGCAGTGTCAAATAACTATCTAATTGCATTGTGAGCTAGCAGTAAGAAAATAGATATACAAAGACAAGAAAAAACTAATCATTTTATCGGACTGTTCTAAAGCACCTGTCATCTCAAGGAAATGTTATTAAAAGCCCTCGAGCATGATTAATGCTAGCAATTGAAAGAGGAAAAGGATTTACCTTCTAAAACATAAGCCTGAGCACCGTTGGCCCCCTCCTGAATGACATAACAGCCTTGATTGATGGCGGTGGGATACATACAGGCTATGATGGTTCTGATTTCTCCGTCGTCAAGGTTCTTCAACAAGTCATTCTTCAGAAATGATGACTGGATCAACTTCTGAGACCTGAGGGAACAAAGGGATAAAGGGAAAAAGTTTATCAATTCTAAGTAATGCTGAAAGCAGAAACACTGAACACTGAACAGCCTTGAACATTTGAGAGACATGTTTTCAGTGATAGCTTACTGCTGGCTTTTGTCACAGCTTCTGTGTGAAACCATGGCGAGAGTCACCGGGTCCAGAGTGAAAGGCTCGGAAATTACTGTTTTTCTACTGACTTGCTGCGAGTCCTCACTTTGAGCTGAGCAAGCTGTAGGAGTAAACACACACACACACAACAGGACAGGTTTAAGGCTCGCGCTACCTGTTGAGGCTTTAAACTATGACATTTATAAGCACCATGTTCTGTATCTGCACTGGCTGCAGAGGATCCTGGGAGGGAGACAGTGGCTCTGTAGCGATCCAGTTCTTCCTGCAGTCTCCGGATGAGTTCATCCTTTGTATCCAACTCCAACTCTAACTCATCGATTAGTGCGTCCCTCTGACGGAGCTCCTCAATCTTTAATTGCAGGGCAAATTGGAGGTCCCGAAGTGTACCCATTACCTCCAAACACCAGCTGACAAAACACAGCAAAAACACATCTCTTTTTACACACAAACGGATACATTAAGTGGGTCCAACTACACACATTTCTGTCTGATCTTGAGTTGCAGTGATTCCCCCTTTGTAGCTAATTAACTCAAAGCTAGACAAACATCTGCATCTCTTCCTGTGATTAGATCAGTATCAGTATTATTAATAATACAAACGAGGAATCAATAAGGTATAAAGGCTTTTACAGGAGAGTTTGATGTGCTTCTTAAACATATACCCATAAGTGCTTGACATAATAGATAGATAGATAGATAGATAGATAGCTGCCTATATAAATATTTGATTCAATGAAACATGTTTGATGGCAATCATTTTCAATAGGCTGAATAGTAACAAAACATGGTTAAGTATATTCCAAAGACAGTTCCCAGTGCAATAAAAAAGAAGACTATAAATATGTCTTTGCTCTATGAGCTTGCAGTACTTGATTCAAGGACACTTAACAAAAATACGAGACAAGAAAGTAGCGCTGCTATAGTTGACTAAAAGAGATAAAACAACTAAGATTAATACAAGGTCATTATAGACTCACTATTATGTCACACACACTTCGTGTCACTGCAAGATTAAAACGTGGATTGTTTTTTTCGTTTTGGGTCGCAAACGCGCTCAGAGCCATACGCCCTGATAAACAGCCTTTTAAATACACGAATGAGTTGGTAAAATGTGACAACAGCGATATATGTTTTCTGATAGATTAAACACACATGTATGATATGTCCTGACAAATATAATGCCGAGCTGTCTTCCACATCTTCCACACAAAAATATCACTTACCACATGCAGGCTGTCGTACAATGTGGAAGTCTTTCTCACTTCGTCCTGAATATGTTTGTCCCTGTTTAGCAGCAGACAGCCCATTCGACAGGTGCACAGCGTCTCTGTACCCGCCCAAGTAAAAGATGCTCCTCTCCTGCACGGGGCTGGCCAGGGCTGGGCACAGACAGCAGGCAGTCACATGACCCAGACAGTGGAGACCATTCGGGAGGCTGTAATGATAAATGCATGGATTGGATCCCAATTGGGTCAGAGGGTCTTTGGGGTATTTCCGAGCCCCGGGGGTAGGTAGGTCTCCGACAAACCGAGCGGTGAGCATCAATCATTTTATTCCCCAGATATTTTGCTTATGTGAAAGACTGTTAAAAGACTGGCTGTGTGCACTGATAAGTGGTTTTACTCTCACTCCATTGTAGGCTACCATCAAAGAGGCCTATTGAAAATATTTATTATGATGATATTTTGTAAATATGCCTAATTTGGAGAACAATTATCCGGCCCATAGCTTTGTACAACAAGACCCAAGCAAAGGCAGATGGCTTGTTTTTAATTAAAAACGGGTTACAACTTTGGATTGGTAATATTAACAATTCGTAATACCAAGTGATTAAGTGTTTTTAAAGGTTCTTCCCACTTTACATTCCTAACCCCATCTTTGTTTTCCTTCATCGTCATTCTTTTCTTTAATATTTAATTATGGTCTAATTATCTCGAGCAGAGGAAAGAATAATAACGTGTCATTTTCTCTCCCCTTTTTGGTTGAATTATCTTCCGCATGGAGCAGCCCTTCAGCCAGCCCTCCAGCCAGCCAGTGGCAGTAGTGTCACGTGAGAGAAGCAGCAGCAGCACGCGTCAGCTGTAGAAGAAGAAGATGGGCCATTGATAAGAAAAGAAACGCTGTGGCTATCTTGAGCTAACAAAGTGACGTTAACTGAATACATCTAACGCTGGTGGCGTGATTGTTAAACGTGTTGTTGTGTTTTGTTCTGGGCATCATCGAAAATGATCCTTACCGTGAAACCACTTCAAGGGAAAGAATGCAGTGTTCAGGTAGGTTAAGCAGCGCTAGCTAAGCTAACTGTTACCTCCCTACCGCTAGCTTAATGCGCAACATCAGCTGACGTTAGCCTTTATAGGTAAGCTAACGTTAGCCGCCAGTGGCGATGGTCCTGTGTCATGCTCGCTTGAGTGAAGCAAGCCCGAAAATGATGCTTCGGTTTCAACATTAGGTTGTCAAACTCCATCCAGTGTGACGTTGATTTTAATGGATCTGCTGTACATTCGCACATCGCCCGGATATGAATCGATGTTACTCTAGATGGCTTGTTAGCCACATCCTTGAGAAAGACACGTTAACGCTAACTGTAACGATTTTCTCTCCTCTGGTCCCAGTTCAGACCCAGTGGTTTAGTGGGAGCTCTATAAATCCTCATGTGGGGGTTCTTGTAGGAAAGGGAAGTCCCTAGGGAAATACTTTAATACGCAGTACTAACGTTAAGTTAACTTAAATTGTCTTCTAGACAGTCTGTGATGTAATTTGCTCACTGTAAAGCTGGCCCATAGGTCCTGCTATATGTGACATAGGGACTACTATATGATGAGTATGCTACTGCAATACTCTGAGGTATTTTGTGTAGAACAATATCATTAACTAGTCAGGGTACTGTAAAGCATTTGCTGATGTGTCTATCAATGGGGAAGTATTTCTCATACTGGACTAAATGTTGTAATCAGCAGAAGAGAAGTGGATCTAGACAAGAGACAATGCAATGTTTTTGCTCTGAAAGTTCAAAAGTACCTGACCACTAACATGCCTGTTATTGGCACTGTCTAAAGGGATAAATAGCACCACTAAAGGCCAGTGACTGTTTGTTCATTTTCTTTGGAAAGAATGTGCTAAAGTGGCCATGTATCAAGGTAGATGTGTATTTGGTACTTGTAAAGGTGAATTCCTCATTAATTGTTAGTTATACCTGAAGTTGATGGCATTTGAGGTCTCTTCAGCCTAACAGTAGGGGACAGGAGAATGCTTGCCAAATGTGTTTTAGTGTGACTACATCATCATGTTGTTGATCTACTAGGTGACTGAAAATGAGAAGGTCTCCACAGTGAAGGAACTTGTGTCAGAACGCCTCAACATACCAGCAAACCAGCAGAGGTTGCTCTATAAAGGGAAAGCACTTTCAGGTAGATTTGCCAACAGTCAAGTGTTTCATAATCTTTATGCAGAATTGTAATTGCTTGATTCAACAATCTCTCTTGTCCATCTTGTTTTCTTCAGATGAACACAGGCTGAGTGATTATTCCATTGGGCCTGAGGCTAAATTGAATCTGGTTATCCGTCCAGTGGGGGAGAGAACTGGAGCGTCAGGGACGGCTTCCAGCAGCAGCAGCAGCAGCAGCAGCAGCAGTAGCAGCAGCTCACAAGGAAAAGTGTGGCAGACTGTGTCCATTATCCTTGCTAGACACTTTAGTCCAGCAGATGCGGCGAAAGTCCATGAACAGCTTATTAAGGTATTTTAGTAGTTGTGCTACAATGCTTTGTAGTCTCAGTGGGTAGAGTGGGTCGCCCTTAAACCACAAGGTTGTCTGTTCGATCCCCGGCTCCTACTGTCCATATGTTGAAGTGTTCTACAACAAGTCACTGAATCCCAAGTCGCTCCCTAAATATGTAGGATCGGAACTTTCATGTATGTATATGACTAATGTAAAAATGTTTTAATTCTAACATGGAACAATCAAATATTGCTACTCCATTCTTATGATGATATTAGCAGTTTCTAAATTGTTGAATCAAATGGAAACTATACATATTTAAAAAAGCAGCATGAAATACCCATCCAAAGCTGCTCAACATTAGTTTAGTGAACATGTTGGATGATTTGACAGGTTTTTTTTTTCAACTGACATTTAATCTTTTGCCTTCGGTTAGTATAAATGCTTTTAAATTTAGTGTTTCGTCCTCCAAAGTCTGAAAGACACCAGTTTATCCTGTGAAGCCCTCTAAATCCTACAATCCCTTGTATGGTGGTCAATTGTTTTATAGAGCATTCACGCATGCCTGGTGAACTCATAACATTCTAAAATGATCGTCTATCACAGGAACATATTTCTAAAAAAAAAAAAAAATCAATCTAAAAGGCACTGCAAGGTCTCAATAATGAAAGCCAGGTAAAACTGCACTTTTTGTTCTTGTAAGCACAAATTGTATTGTTTTGGTTTTAATTTTGACATATATTTTTTCTCCTGTTTATTAATGTCAAAAATTCCTAGTTACATACACTGTAAGTACATAAATGCCCGTAAATGAAAGTCAGTATATGGATGTATTAAAACTTTACAAGTTGTTATCAACTATGTACTTTGAAATTGTTTCATGGTAGCTCTCTGGGGATAGACTTGAAAATCTTGCACCTACCAAATTGGTTAAAGCGTCCCGTTAATACACCATTATGTCAGTCTGGCTTCAGGTCTGCAGTACTCAAAATTAGACGATCCTTCCTATCTCATGCTTCATTAGAAATATTTCCCTACACACACAACATGGTTAAAATAGATTGGAGAATATTTAAAACTTGCTCTTTCTCAATATTTGTATTTTGTTTTTCTTCTAGGACTATGAACGTTCCCTTCGACAACTTAGTCTAGACGACATTGAGCGGTTGGCGGGGAGACTGCTTCACCCCGACGGTGACGGCATGGACACCTCCTACATGGACTAAGCCTCGCTGGAAGTTGCTTATTGTGATTGTCTTTTGAGAGGTGCTCAGTTCATGGAGGTGCATACAGTGTTTAATCATTGGCTGAGTGAAGACAGATACCAGTGACTGTTGATTATGTCAGCAATAGGGCTTTCTTATCCATGACCAAAAGACTTGGATAAGAAAACATGGCAACTTTGAATTGGTCTGGTCACTGTCATCGATGTTGCAGAAATGACACAAGACCTGATCACATAATATTTGAAAACAAAGGAATCCATTTATGCTGTTTGGTTTCACATGAGCTCTGGCTGCTACGACTCCCAGTGGACGGTAACATCTACTGGAGGTTTTTGTTAGTAATTTCTGTGTCGGGTGGTGTGTTGTGTTAACCATCCTTGAGAAGGCGATGCATGTTTTATTCTGTAACTAACTGATGTTCATTGAATGCTTTGTAAATATTGTGTTTATATATACAGACATTAAACCACAGAAAAATTACAAGCGTTAATGTTTACTGTTTTGTTGAACATTTTATGTGAATTTTAAAAAAAAAAGAAGAGAAAAAATATATATATATCTATATCTATAGATAATGTTGACTGGGAATGGTTTTTAAATCCCTTTGTAGCATTGAAAAGTATAAGTGGTTGAATATATAAATGAAAACAGACTTCTCTACAAGGACTATTTAAGGCGCACTGAGTCTTGAACGTGCCGACCAATGAGGTATCAGTTATTTTATGACCAATCAGATTGAGGGAGCGTATTGCGAGTCCCGCTTACGTGGTGAACTGACGGTTTCTTTCCTGCTAAATTTAAATAACGGTTCGGATAAAAATGAAATATATTTGACTCTCCACCAATGATGACGGACATAAACGTTGGATAAGGGCGGATAGTATTTCTTGGACATCGGTAAGGTCGTAATGGAGCATCGGTTGGTCCCTGTATGTTTGTTCCAAGCTAGCGTTAGCACAAAACTAGGTCAACCGCTTCACTTCCTGCCTCTAACCTGTTAGCGCGAGCCAGCTAACGTTAACTGATAACATCGAGCCTGTGCTGCTGCATCATGTGTTGCCATGTAGGTTAGGTCAGTGCCGGTCTGGATGATTAATTGTCCGTTTTCTGTTCTTGTGTAATCTGGGAGGACTCTGACCAGTGTTGGTCAACATGATGCTAGGGCGTTAACGTTACACCCCTCTCATCAGGACCACTGTTCCCTTTGGCAAAGCAAGACATTCTTCCCAGGGAAATAATGTAGACAGCATAGAGTTGTTGCTTTCTTGCACAGATTATAATGCAGCCAACTGCATTCTCATTTGGGCTTTTTGGAATAGCATTTTCATAGCTGGCGTTAGTATTTCATTTGAGTTTCAGTATGATTTAATGTGAACTGAGCTACTTTGCTGTCCTTTCTTTATATCCATGTTTGTTCTGTTTTTGACTTTTTTAGTAAGTGTGCCCGGTCTATTGGGAAGATGGAGACTCTAATCCCCACCATCAACCGGCTGCAGGAGGTCTTTCTCACAGTGGGTGCAGAGGTCATACAGCTGCCTCAAATAGTCGTCGTTGGATCTCAGGTCAGTCGGGGGGAAAAAACAATGAAAAGCTTAATTGTAAACTTGAACAAGTTTAAACAACTTTTAGTAAACTAAAACTTGTAAGAGTCCTGTAACACTTTCTTGTGTATGATTTGATCAGAAATTGAATATGTATTGTTGGTGTAAACACTGATATAGACTGACTGTATCAGTGCTGAATTGCTCTCATTATGTGCTGTAACAGAGCAGTGGAAAGAGCTCTGTGTTGGAGAGCCTGGTTGGACGGGATTTCTTGCCTCGAGGATCAGGAATAGTCACAAGACGACCCCTCGTGTTGCAACTTGTTAATGTGGCCCCTCTGCAGGAGAGACTAAAAACCGAAAATGGTACCTTCATATTTTAAATAAGAAGGAAGTTGTCCTTGAAAAATATCAGCATGTATATCATAGTTTGTTATATCTGTCTAGGCATAGGATCTGCTAGCAGTAGTACAGTATGTGTGGTAAGCACTTTGGCATGTTCGCTTTCACTCACTATCTGAACTGTAAGCTACTTCTTGCTGAGCCTCTCTTTGCTAACATTCAGTCTTTCTTCCTTTTCTTCTTTACTACTCTTTCAGGAAATGGGGTAAAACAAAATGCCCAATTCAGCTACCCAGGTCTCTGTATATTTGGTCTGCATGGACTTGTCTTTCTTTAGCCACTTCATTTCTTCTGTGAACTTTCTCAAACATTTAGTTTGTTTTCCGATCTTCATCTGTCGAGCATGATATCGGTCCATTTGTAATCTTTTCAGTTTGCATTATTCCTCCCCAAAGCGTAATGCTATTTGCAAACATCTGCAACATGTACTTGCGCTCACTCTTATATTGTTTGTTCAGGTGTCAAAGCTGAAGAATGGGGAACGTTCCTGCACTGCAAGAACCAGGTACATTTAACTGCGCATTTCAAATGCCGTGCTTACTGCCGTTGTCCTGTGTTATGTGCTGAGTTTAGCTGATGCATCGTTCTCACACTTTTGTTGACAGACCTTCGCAGATTTTCAGGAAATTCGTCGGGAAATTGAAGCAGAGACTGAACGCAATTCAGGTGACAACAAGGTGAGAGAAAGCATTGATAAGTCAGTGATGTCTTAAATTTAGCTTTTTTTTTACTCTGCATTCATAAATATCGCTTATTTTTGTTCATATCCTCAAGGGTATCAGTCCTGAGCCCATATATTTGAAGATTTTCTCCCCCAAAGTCCTTAATCTCACCCTGGTGGATTTACCTGGAATCACTAAGGTAAACTCAGCCACTTAAGACAGATGTTGATTTTATTTCATGTGTGCAAACATAATGGCACTATATGATAATTATCATCATATCTGCAATCTTCTGTGCTTACACTAACCCTGGCTGCTCGTTGTTTTTGCCTCAGGTTCCGGTCGGGGACCAGCCAGAGGACATTGAGGCACAAGTAGAAGAGATGATCTCGTCCTTCATCTCCAATCCCAACTGCCTCATCCTCACAGTGTCCCCTGCCAACTCTGACTTGGCCACCTCGGATGCTCTGAAATTGGCTCGTGAGGTTGATACAGATGGTAGGACATTTTATAAACAGACGCCTCTTCTCCTCAGATTTCATTTTGAATTTGCTTATTACATAACATGCCTCAAGTAGAAATGCATTTTGAATTATTAAATGTGCAGGAAGAATGTATTGTGCTTACATCATTTCAGGCTATTGGACCTGTCAGTCTTTACTGTTGAAAGCATTCTAACAGTTACAGTTGCTGTCATGATGCACTCTGAATAATAGATTGATGGATGATGTGAATCTGCTTGTAGTAATTGTCTGCTAGGTTGGCAATATGGCCTTTTAAGTGCGGGTTGTGCACTGATAATGTGCTGGCTAGGATATCTGTAGCTGGGCCCAAATGTTCCGCTGCCGGCCTCAATTCAATCCCATTAGAAACCTGTTTCCTTGTTTCCTTCCATTATGTCCTACTGTATAATCGTGTGTGTGTGTGTGTGTGTGTGTCAGGTCGTCGAACACTGCTGGTGGTCAGTAAGCTGGACCTGATGGATGCAGGGACTGATGCTCTGGAGGTCCTTCTGGGTCGAGTCATTCCAGTCAGACTTGGGATTATCGGGGTGGTTAATAGGTTTGCAGTGATCAATTCTTTATTTTTTCTTGTAGTTTAGCTGTGTATTGTTTTAAGCTTCACAATACAGCAATTTGGCAAGTTGTTGATGTCCTTATTACCCTGATCATCAGATTACTCTCCCGCTCTCTCCCCAATTGGTTATCCTCCCAGGAGCCAGCATGACATCAATACCCAGAAGAGCCTTGAGGACTCGATGAGGGATGAGCAGACTTTCCTGCAGCGCCACTACCCCTCGCTCGCCTCGCGCGCCGGCACACGCTATCTGGCCAAAACTCTCAGCAGGCTGCTCATGCATCACATCCGGGATTGCCTGCCAGAGCTCAAGACCCGTGTGACCGTGCTAAGTTCCCAGTACCAGGCACGGCTCAATGGCTATGGCCAGCCAGTAGAAGACCACAGCTCCACCCTGCTGCAGATTGTCACCAAGTTCGCCAGCGATTACTGCCACACCATTGAGGGAACGGCCAGATACATCCAGACCACAGAGCTGTGAGTCTAATCGCTTTACAGCAGCAGTATCTTCATTGAATAGCAAATGCATTTTTTTCTGATGATAGCTGCCTTTGTTTCGTGTTTCTGGGAATTTTTTTAGGTTATCATCTAAATTCATACCTTGCGTTGCTCTCCGCATTGGTTCATAATGTATATCCGGAGGGTTGTTTTCTTGTGGTAATTGTAAATTTAAGTGGTATCAGCATCTTCTGTTGGCACCCTCATCTCTACAGCTTGCTACGAGGTGATTCATTTATGTAAATATGTAGAGAGCAAATATTGACCCTCTTTGGCTGACTGCATTTAATTTTTGCGCAATTAACATAGCCGACACAGAGCACTGAGAAACAGCATTGGTATCACAGCTGAACTCATCTCTTATACAGCTGTGGGGGTGCTCGGATCTGTTACATATTCCATGAGACCTTTGGGCGCACTTTGCAGTCCATTGACCCCCTGGGAGGATTGACTGAGCTCGATATCCTCACCGCCATCCGCAATGCTACGGTGAGCTCCTCCTGACTTCCCTTCTTGTAATTATTTTAATCCAGATTCTAGTCAAGTTCTCTCGTTTGGAGGAATAGCAGGTAAATTATAGAGTGTGTGTGTATGTGTGTGATTTGCCCTCCAGGGTCCGCGGCCAGCACTTTTTGTGCCTGAGGTGTCCTTTGAGTTGTTGGTGAAGCGGCAAATTAAGCGACTGGAGGAGCCCAGTATGCGCTGTGTAGAGCTGGTTCATGAAGAGCTGCAGAGGATCATCCAGCACTGCTCCTCCTTCAGCACACAGGTTAGCCAGGTTGACGCATTTTTCATTTGATCGACTTGCTAAAACAGAGAGGAGCATTAATTATGACAGCACCATGTTGAGAAACGTTGTCTTTGTCTTTGCAAGGAGCTTCTGCGATTCCCCAAACTGCACGATTCCATTGTGGAAGTGGTGACCGGATTACTGAGAAAGCGCTTGCCGATTACTAATGAAATGGTAATCCATGGCTTAGCTAAAATGATCTTTCATACTAATTGTAATAACTAACAGCCAAGTCCTATTTACTGCCTGAGATTTATTCTGTGTTTTTTCCCATTAGGTGCACAATTTAGTATCAATAGAGCTCGCCTACATCAACACAAAACATCCAGACTTCACGGATGCAGCGCAGGTCTGTGCATCTGTCAACAGTCAGCAGGTAGTTTATCTGTCCCTTACAACAGGTACTCTCATTTAAAATGTATTCTGCTAGGGTAAACTGTAGAAGTCGAGTTCTTTAAAGCCTTAACCATTACGTCTCACATCCAAACAGTGAAGCCCCTTTTAAAGTATGTAGTGGAGTTCCAGCCTCAGCCAAAGCAGCCTTCACCCCCCCTGACTTCCTCTGATTTCTTGCTGACAGGCGGAAGCCCTTGATGGAGGAATGCGCTGGAAGAACGAGAAGGTTGCGGAAGAGAGAGTCGCGGCTGCAGGCTTTGGCAGTCCCAGCAAAGGCCGGTCCATTAACCTGCTTGACACAGTGAGTGGTGGGATTAGCAATAGAAGAAAACACTTAGCGGTGAAGACACTGCACACTGTCAACATTTTACTTTGCCTCTCTCTCTCTGCCAGGCGATGCCCGTATCACGCAAGCTGAGTGCGAAGGAGCAGAGGGACTGCGAGATTATCCAACGCCTCATCAAGTGCTACTTCCTTATTGTCCGCAAAAGCATCCAGGACAGGTTCGACTGCAACAAGTCCAGAGCATCTGAGGGGGCATTTCCCCTTTTTTCTTCTATTGTTGATCTCTGATGTTTTTAGTGATTTCCCAACTTAGTTTCTTGGGGCTGTGTGTCCGCAGTGTGCCCAAGACAGTGATGCACTTCCTGGTCAACTTTGTGAAAGAGCATCTGCAGAGTGAGCTGGTGGGTCAGCTTTACAAACAGCAACTGCTGCAGGAGCTGCTCATTGAGTCACAGGACACGGCACAGCAGCGGACCGAGGTTGCCCAAATGCTTGAGGTGAAATTGGCCGATGCTTTTGTTCTCTGAATAGGTTCTAAGCATGAAAAACACAAAGTCTTTTCTATTCCTCTTTGAGCTACCATTTTAAAGCCAGTGATTTCACTGACCTCTCTGTTTTCTTTTTCTTTCTCAGGCGCTCCAAAAAGCCAATAACATCATCTCTGAGATCCGTGAGACACATCTGTGGTAGCCAGAGGAAAAGAACAATTCCCTTGTCATAGGACAGCTTTGAGAGGATGAGAGTGTATTTGAGTTTACACACAGGGAGAGAGTGTGTGTGTGTGTGTGTGTGTGTGTGTGTGTGTGTGTGTGTGTGTGTGTGTGTGTGTGTGTGTGTGTGTGTG